TTTATTATATTGAACTTTTTAAATAAAAATAAAGCAAAGTTATTTGCAAACGAGAATTTGAAATCATTTTATTGCAAACTCAAAGTTTATCGATAAAGCCATTTAATAGTTAAAGGCAGTTTCGAGGGCAGTTTAGTTTTATAAAGAACACTTTAAAACGTTTTGCGAATTGTTTGTGGTTGAATTTTACCTTAAATTGAAGCTTGTATTACGTATAATTACATACCTAACATAAATATGTTGGAAAATTGATAATTTTGTAATTAAAAGTGATATTTTTAGGCGATTTTCATTTGTAAGAATATTCTTAAAAAATTATCGTGTTACCATGACAACTACTTTAGATACTTCATGTTCGAAAAATACAACGGTTTTGTCAGCAAGGCGAGGGTTTCTGCATGCATGTATTTTCTAGTAATTTAAATAACACCTACTAAGTACGATATTACACTTACCATGTTATCTTTCTTTATATTTGGCAATGTTTTGCCTCGTGAGACAGCCAAAAATCCAGTAAAATTCTGTTATTTTTCTTCGCCAATTTTGAGAAACTTTTAAAACCAAGATGACGGCGCAGCATTTTTTCGCGAAGACCTGGTCGCTAAGTTTTGAGCGCTTTTCGAAAAAAATACGCGACTTTGTAAAAAATCTCCTCTTAATAATTTTAATATACAGGGTGTATCAAAATAAACGCAATTCATCTTTTGTGCTTAATAACTTTCGAAATACTATATCTAGTTAAACGCTTTTAGGCTTACTTCAAAGCCTGTTCTTTTCTCTTTCAAACAAACTATTATCTTTGTCTCCAATGCTAGTAATAATTGCACAGGAAAAGATTTAGTAAAACCTATCATTTTTAGTTCCTGTTTAATTATGCAAGTTTACTATGTTATTGTTTAGTCGGTTTAAATGTTAGAATTTTCTTCTTTAAACTTTAATGTTGTCATCACTACATCTGGAAAACCACGTAAGAACAAATTAAAAGTATTTTAAAAGAGACCAGGTTGTTTGAAAATCCTAAACGAATGCTAAAAATCGTCAAAACATTCTGGTGTCTGAGCCAGAGTGTCATCGAATTGCGCGCGATGTAATGAACAGAAATTATAGCAAGTTGATGTCTGTCAGTTTAGATGGTCCAAGCCAAAATTATATCGCATTTGAAGTTTCAAACTGAGTTAAAAATAGTGGAAGAAAAGCCGTAATTATACTTATTGTTACAATCCATTTAATAAAATGCAACATTTTTTTGTTTTAATGAAAAAATCAGTTATTTTCGTGAGAACGATTTGTTATTCCATCTCACTTTTTTTAATCTCCAATCGCAATAACGTAAAGTATCATTACCCGCGAACCAATGAGTCAAATTTAAGAAACAACCCACTGTTAGAAAGCTGAATGGCTACGCTTTAAAATGAATGTAAACTTTAACGTTTTCGTCTATTATTTGTTTAGCAATTTACATTTCAGTCGAGGATTGCGCTTTTTTTGATACACCATGTAGAGCAGCAAGTTATTTTGCATCATGTAACTGAGTTTTATAATATATAAGTGTGATATATAACAGACGATTTGATTGGCTAATGCGCGTGCATTGTGACGCAATAATGCACTGTGATCTGTGGCACTGGTTTGCTCTTTCTTTGTTGATGCTCTTTCTCTCTTCATTACTGCTTTTTAGCCAAAAATATAAACAAAATAATAGAGCTTTTAAATTACAAAAATTACCAAAAAGCAAGAAGGAATAGACCAAAGAAACAAAGCAAATTTTTATAGTTCTGCGTGTAAAATTAACCGGCTTGGCATTCGTCGAATTCGTTGTTGTCTGGACAGGTTTTGGGTAAAAGAGTGCAAAATAGCCGAGAAAAAACTTGAAAGAGATACAGGAATACCAAATACAGTACATACAAAAAGGCAAACAAAAACTGAATATACGTGATTTAGAATACTCGACTACGCAAAAGGCTACGCCTCGTATTTTACATGCTTGTCTCGTATTCTCTTTTTCTCATATTATAAATGAAATAGAAAACGCGTCTATTATCGCACTATAAACGCACGACGATGGGAATGTTGGAAGAATGCGACTCGTTTTCTATTTCTATGTCAGTGTAGGCAGTGTCAGTAATAGGAAAGCTGCCCATTGATAAAGATACAACTACCCGAGAAATGCGAGGATAAATTCTACGTTTTGAGCGAATGCCCAACTATAACTCCCGGGCCGACGACGGATCTTTAATACAAATATATAAAAAGGGTAAAAAAAAATGCAAAAAGCTCATACGCACGATATCAGCTTAAACCAACAGTGGCTAAAATATTTTTACCTCTCACAGGAACATGTGAATCTCAACAATGTCCTGGAAATTCAACATGTAAACAATTGACGGCTGACACAATATCATGTCCTTGTAATGACGGATATTATTATGATGGAGTGAGCTGTAAAGGTACAGTATGTTGTTGTTAAAATAGTAATGGTTATTTAGTACCTTGCATCCTGCAAATGCTGCATGTGTAACCGTATAGATCATACATTTGCAAAATAAAGATGGATTTTATTGTGTATACATTGTAGCTATAACCTGCATATGATGTGTCGCCTGATAAAAGGCTGGAATAAGATATTTTATTAATCTGTATTGGATTACTTGTTTCTGTTTTTCTTGACAGGCATTATTTTGTACTCTGCACATGATGTTAAACACGGTCACTTGATCATCGTGACTGTTAAGTTTATTTAATTAGCCAATTTTCCCTGTAATTTTCATTTCGTCCTTCATAACAAAAACATTGTTATTTATTCAGTCATGAAAGAAGAGGATGGACATTAACTATATTTCTAACAATATTGTTTCATAAATTGCCAATTGCCCTTTTTATTTCAGAATTTATAGTGATAAAAGTTGCAGTAACTTTGGAGGAAGAGTTTACTGAAGAGCTAAAGAACACTTCTTCGCCAGTTTATCAAGAATTGGAAAGATATATCACTGTAGAGGTAATTATGGATGGAATATTGTTAGAAAATTGCCACTTATTAAAATTACAGTAGTTTCCGGAACTCCGCTAGAATAAAACTCTTAAGTCTGTTAATTGTATGTATAGTTAGATGAAAACTTGTATATATATGTAATTCATTATGTTTGCCTGCATGATAATCTACATTTCAGATATTCATCTTCTGCGACTCAGCTTTAAGGAGTAGATTTTTTAAAGAACGAGTCACAAACACTACTTGATCACATTTGTCACAAAAAGCAGTCACAGAACACGTTCAAATGTGGAGTTTACTAGTATATTCGTTTGGTGATCAACCTTTCAGGTTACATATAGGCTATTTAAATTTATTTTCCTTCATTGAAAGCATTATATCTGTAACCCAATGAAAATTTTGCATGTTATTTGACATATGAATTCTCTGGTTGTTATGAAAAATTTATTTCACGAGTAAAATTACTATTTATAATACACATGTGTATCATTTACTGTTCCAATGCAACAAATAAATAGCAATACATTTTCAAGCGAAATAGAATAAAATATATATGATTAATTCATTTATTCCTATTGGTACACTATGTTGCTTTTTTAAGCTATATGAAACATTTAAAGACACTCCAAACTTCCAAGAAGTAGTGGTCTTGGGATTCAGGTAATCTTAAATAAACGAAGGTCTGTTATAGACGGTGAACTTTTCATGCGTCGAACCTAATCAAATTCAATAGGGCAAAAGTTTGGCGACCAATTTAGACGTCATACTTAATTTACCATGCAAAAGAAAAAGACACTATACCATAAATTCCAGTGATAAATTGCAAATAAATCATAATCATATGATGTGCGTTAAAATAATTTATACATTAGGTTGAAGGAATGAAAATCACGGCGTCTAAACACATCTATTGTCGAATCTGCGTTGAATATTACGCCATGGCTTGCGGTATTTTGTGCCATGTATAACGTATAATGAAAACCGAATTAAATGATTTACAGCTATTGCAATTAAGGTTCTCTACGAGCAAAGCGGAAAAGTTGAATACGAGCGCGAAAGGCTGCTGGGAATCCGTTACAAATTAATAAATTTTCAAAGAAATTCCCAGCAACCTTTCGCGCTCGTATTCGACTTTTCCGCTTTGCTTGTGGGCAATCTTAATTGAGGCCTAGTTTCAGAATATAACGGTCGGAGCCAATCAAGCAGCGATGTGTAGAAACAGCAGAGCATGGAAGAAGATGCAATAACTGTAAAATACAAAATGAAGTCTTCAATTCCTTTTTTTCATGCAAGTTAGTACGAACTTTTATGCACGTATTATAAGCAGGCGCTTAGCCAGGGGGAGTCTAATCATCGTAAATCATCTAGGTTAAAAAAAATACATTGATACTTTAGAATATCCCTGATGGAAACAATAGACTGTGGTGTCGAAATATTACGTCACCATTGACAATGTTCAGGTTTCTGGGTGACGTAGTAGCTAGCAGATTTCTGTTATTAAATCTTGTTGCGGTGAGGCCATTATCTTTAAACTGTTGCTTCTTAGCATTCTTAATAGCTTTTGTAACTGTCGCTCATTTTTGTAGGAACGGGTCCGTTATAGTGGATTTTAAGGCTGTTTACCGAAAAGATAAGAACAACAAAATTGTGGTTGCAGAAAGTGTAAGAGAACAAATTGTTAAAGCTGTAAAACTTGGAAATTATCAAGTGAAGAGTGCTGTCGTTCAAGGTAAAATCGTTTATCATGTTCATTTTCTTGCTTCATAAAACAAGTTCGGTTACTACTAGAAGTTCCTATCGCAAGGAAAATGCTGCCTTGCCCCCAAAGGATGGCACAAAGTGCAATTTGCTTAATAAGGGGCTGTTTATACGATCCTGTTTCGCCAGGAGATGTGAGGCAGAATGATTTCAATGTATTGAAATGAGTCACAGTGCACAATTCAGCAAAAAGCATTTTTCTAAACATAGATTATAGTTAACTGTAAACGAAAGGTTGTTCAAGCAATTATAATCTTCTTGAATTACAAGATCTTCTCTGCAATATTTGAGTCTTGTTAACAAGCAGTTGAACTTTTGCTTAGCCTAGTGACTTATTCCAATACATCAAAAATCATCCCACCTTCCATCATGTAAACAGGAAAAGTCGAAAGGTCAGCTAAATGTATATGAATACATTCAATGCTTATAACTTCTTGCTTTTGTATGTATAATTATAACACAGTCAGTGGCAGGGGTGGGTGGAAAAAGTATTGGACCACGGGACGATTGGTTCCAGAAAATTTTTTGAGTTCCCAGAAAATATTTCCCCAAGAAAGAAAAATATAATTGTAAAAATTTAGATAAAAGGATAAATTCAGAGGGAAAACTCTAACCAATTGAAAGAATCCTACCTGTACTGCAGGTATGACCTCAGAAATGCAAGTCCATCTTAATAGTATGTTAGTCAAATAGTGTATAAATGTATACATTATAGAATGATGTAACAAATGTTGTATTGCAAATGCATTTTTAGCCAATCTGAGACACCTGGTTTTCAAAATTTTCTGGCGGAGCATGCCCAAGATCCCCCCCTTTTTTGCATCTGTAAATTTACCTCAGGATCAGACCCCTGATGTTATCTGAATTAGTTCTGTCATATTCCTAAAAGTATTATTAAGATTCTCAATGCACTGTAACTGAATTTTTTTCTGCGAAAATATAGCATGACATTCAGTTTCACAACTTGTTAGTATCATAGTAATTATACAGTTACAGTGTCCAAGTATTGATTTATTGATTTATCACAGAAATTTTTTTATTTCCCTTTGGCGGTCCCAGCAAGTAAAATATTTTTCCACCCCTGGTCAGTGGTACGGTAAAGCGGACATAGCAACAGGTCATGCTATGCAAGCTTTTAATTTGTATTATTCAAATAGATGCCGGTTTATTGATGTGGCATAACCAGTTGCCTTGGTAGCTAGCTTGCCACTGAAAAATCATATTATATATAAAATATAATACTTGAATGAATCATTGGACATGTAGAATCTAATAATAATTCCATATATAGAATATTTAATGCAATAATGGCACCTTTAAGGCGAGTAAATCCATTTACCGAGTCAAATCCGAGTCCGAGTCAGTCTCGAGTCCGAGTCAAATGCCCAAGTCGCGTAAAGAAAGACGCCGAAAGTGAATGAAATTCACAGTCGAATAGGGTTAGGAGTAGGTTTAGGGTTAGGGTACTTCGTCATTTTACCGGCAAAACACAGTTAAACAGTGACTCGGAGATTTGACTCGAACTCGGATTTGAGTCGGCCAGTAACCGACAAAATCCAAAATTGAATAAAATTCACAGTTAAATAGGGTTATGGTTAGTTAGGAGTGGGATTGTGGTTAGGATTAGGGTACTAAGTCATTGAACTGCAAAGACCATCGATTTATAAACAATGACTCGGACATTTGACTCGGGCTCGGATTTGACTCGGTTAACCAACAAACTCCCTACCCCTATTGCAAAACAACTGAACAATCTTCTGATGGAAAAAGTTTCAGCCCGGACTGAAATTTAAGCCTGATTTGAGCTGCCTAGGCTGAGATTTCAGCCCGGCTGAACCTCAGCTCGGAACCATGTAATCGCAAATAATTTCAGCCCAGGCTAAGAAACAACCATTTAAATGGCTTTATTTTGCGTGTTTGTTTCATCTTTAAATACTTTACATATAACCACAGTCTCACACAAGTCAATAAGTCGACTAATCAGCGTCTGATTGTTTCAAAGAAGCGTGACAGGCTTATTGTCCTTATAGGATCGAGACGGTAATTTATGATAATTTATGTAAGTGCCCGGATGAGTTAGGGGCAGTTGTTTATTCCATGTGCTTGGTCATATACAATATATAGTTTGTAGTTTTTTGTACGTGGAAGTGGCCTAAATACGAGGTAAACATTTGATTTATGACTTTTTTTGCTTGGGATAAGTATAGATTGTGATGAACCTTTATTGTTTATTTAGAACCATCATCATCGTTTAAGCAAGTTTATACATGCCCATAGCATTATAAACTTAAGTTAATGAAACAAGCATTAGGACAAGTCTAGAGTAAAGTTGTGCAAAGTCTCCCGGAGTACAAAGGTCTGGTACAAAGGTCAATCTGTGAATCGTGTGATCATACACGTGCAAAGCGCAAGGCTGAATTAACAACAAACCATTGTCAAATCTCTTCCCATGCGGGGATCTACTACCCCTTGGGTAAAGTCCAACATGGGGGAACCACAACCCCCTGAGGACATATAATTATATCATAATCATATTGCTGTAATAGTGAGTCTGTGGGGCGACACTTTGGCCACAGTTTAAAGTATAATCGGAGCATTTCTCCTCGACGACCCTTCTCCCACAACATTGTGTGTCATAGTTGTTTCTTAATTGTCCTAGAATATTTGCTTAATGAATTGGTGCATTAATCGATTTATATCATTCGTACATTGACATTGTAGTAATAAATATATTTGATCGATTGTGTGTTGGTTGTTTTTTTGCGTCTTTGATGTGTCTCTCGTTGGTCACATAAGCTGGGAATCGTTTATAGCTTATAGTCCTATTTCGTGACACTCACGCCCCGTTTACGTGAGACCGGGACGAAGTCAAACCGGAATGAAAATTGAAATTGTCAACATGTTTAGATGAGATCGGTACGAAAATAAATATAGGCAATTTTCTTTTTTATATGGCTTTTTTTAGTATGTGTTGTTCCAATGTCAAGGTTACAGCCGAAACCGGTCTTATATGTATTTGTGTTTACATTCATCCCGGTCTGAAGTCAATCGGTTTGGTCTAGCAAGCGGAATGACTTGAGATCGGTCGGAGTTATTTTCGTCCCGAAACGAAATAGTCCCGGTTTGACTTCGTTCCGACCTCATGTATTGACTATAAATATAACTCTGACTAAACTCAGCCCAGGCTCAAACTGCTCATGTAATTGTGATGCAATTTCAGTTCGTTTAAACGGGTTGAAAACTCTCCATGTAATCAGACCCTAAGATTGTACTCAGTCAGAACTGCAAAACTATTTAATACAGTTGTGAGCATTATCAAAAAATCATAGTATACTCTGAGTACGGTAGTGACAGCCAGGTGAACATATAAATGTAGGCTGGTAGGATCATTTCATATTATGCTATTGAACAATGGACATATCTCAGAGATATATTTTTACAGACCGTCATAGTGGTCATACCTTTTACAAAAGTCGGTTGACATGTTATTACATGCAACTGCTGGTAAGTTAATATGTGTAGACAACAATCCACACTGGGTTGCTATTTAGGAATATCTTTGTACAATTCAGATAATTTTACGACACTGTTCAATTGATATTGCCAAAATAACAAAAGCAATAATAAACTATCACTGTGTCTCAGTGTCTGTGATTATTTATCCGTTTGAAGTACGATGTTCCATTAAGCCTACGATCAAGCATCTATGGATCAAGCTCGATCAGAATTTTACATTTGTTGCTTAGTAATAAGCTTTTCAGGCTATCAGCTTGAGCACAATTGAAACAACATATTGTTATTGATGTCGACGTATAAATAAAAGTTAATTTGCTCAAAACTTGAAGCATATGAGATGTAGACTGATCAGATTTCTGATCAGGAGGATATACACCGTGAGGTACACGAGGATTCAATAAATTTGGAATCATATACTCAATCAAATTCTTATTGTTTCATTTCTGTTCGCTCGCGCATTCATACAGTTTTTCTCTAATATAAGTTTACGCGTCCCGTTTGAGCTCTAACGACTAAAAGCGTACAAATTTGGGACAGTTTTTAAAAAATGTTTCTTATGATAACGTCAATTGTGGGTAAACACTGAATACAATGTGACACGAAACAATTTTTAGCGAGAATTCGTAACGCAATTGATGTTACATTAAATTTGATTACATTATCTGATGCTGTTTGGAAGAAACGTAAAGAGCAAACGTTATTCTTTCATTCATTTCAGAGTACGTATACAATTGGCAGTAAATATGTAGGTCATAATTTCTTTAACTAGCCATTACAACTATTTTATTAGCCATTAAAATGTTCACTGCCTTCAAATAATGATGCATGTAAATTAAGAAGTTTTTATGTCTGAACTGTTTTAGGACGTCCTCCGCCACCTGCTGGACTTAAAGAGACCGGTAAAACAGATAACAGTATTGACATCAGTTGGGTGAAACCAAAAGGCCACAGCGCATTCGACATTGATGGATACATGGTTGGTCACAAGACCTACGCCGAGACACAATACAAGAACCAGAATATTTCAGCGACATCGGGGATGTCAAGTGCAGTATTAACTGGCCTTGAGAGCGACACGATTTACGAGATTACGGTTCATGCTTATAATAATGATGGTCATAGTGATAAACTTAAAATACAAGTCACAACGGAAAAACCTGATGATTCAAGTAAGTGTCCGGAATGTTTAAAAACCTTTAAGAAAATTATGTTTGTCTGGTTAATTGTATGCATGTACAGTATCACACAAGCCGAAGACATACATCTCACTGTACACAAAGACGAAAGTGTCATTGCTTTTCTTGCAAAAAATTTAAATTAAAAACTTTCAGCAAGAAATTAATAAAGGTTCAGAATATGATAAATTTAGTAGGCACACATGAGAAAAAAACTCATTTTAAAATTACTGTGTCAGTGTCAGCGATACGGGTAATTGTTTTGTCAACAAAGACAAATCTCGTGAAATATATATTTAAACTAGTAACAAAATAAAGTAAAAGATAAGTAACTGTTGTAACTCCAGAAGTAAAAAATAAGTAACTGTTGAAAAACAGTTCTCGTACTAGGTAATAAACATCATATGTTCCCCATTTTGCTTCTTACTAAAAGCAGCAATACGCTTTGGCTAATTAGGAGACCAGAAGTGAATTGGGACAAGACTAAAAATGCATGTCCAAGAATCATCATGGCTAACCTTATTTGACTCGAAACAAGATGATATAACTGACATACAGTAGCTAATTTCGTCTTTTGATCATATAAACGCGTCGCCATATTGCTTAAATGATTTAGCTGTTTCAAAATGCCTTTTTTCTTACCAGCTTCCAAAATTTAGTGACAATTCGTATTTTCGCTTTTATGCAGGCTAAAAAACTTTGTTTTTTTTCTCAGCCAATGAGTTGGTATGACCATTTCACAGTTGGCTGTTTGCGAATCAGAAACTGTAAATCTTTTTATTAAATTAAATAATATTTTAGATCAATTTTTAACTTTAGTTTTGAAATTATTTTCACAGCTACGGTGGTTATTATTGTTGTTGTCATCGTGATCGTGTTACTTCTTATCATTGCCATGGTAGTTTTCTTTCAACTCAGGAAACGAAGATATCGGTATGAGGTATGTCGGAATTCTAATATTCACATAGGTAAACAATGAAGGCTTGAATGAGAAATGGGCAATGAGGCACTTTTTAGCGTCCTTCCACGTGTGTGTTACAATAGAGGGATTAATGTTAGCTTACTATGAGCCCCTCACATGGCAAAATTGTTATCGAAATTAATATAAATTTCCACAGGTATATTGAAGGATTTTTCGTATGTTACATACCAAGGAATTTTTTCGTCACAGAAGATCGAGACATATTTTAAACTAAACAGTTGCTAATTCCGGGTTAACATTCAATTCAATTCAATTCAAAAGTCTTTTTATTAGATCAAAAGATAAAAATACATATCTTATGTTACAAGTAAATATTAAGAATACATTAGTAAAGTCTACATCATGTGAATAGGTTATAGTTAAAAATTAATCTATTTGCAAACGACAATTTAAAACGTTTCGTGTTCACTCTTGGATACTGACTAAACTCTGTCCTCAAAGAGTAGCTTGTGGATTTTTTTCTTGGTATCAAGTCGACTATGGCACTCTTCTGATTTACAGAAGCTTTAAAAATATTTCTGTCCTGTATTTCTAAAAGATATCTAATATTTACAGGTTCTGATATATACTTTCGCTTAAAACATCTGTCAAAAAACCGTTGTAGAGTACTGAGTTCGGCTGGAGAAGAACCGTAGACGGACAGGCCAAACGTTATAGTAGATATTACTAGGGTCTTAAATAGATAATCTATCTCACATTGGCTATAGCCTTCTGTCCTGAGTGTTCGTATAACGTACAAGCATTTGTTTGCTTTGACCAATTTACCTCGCACATGACTGGTGAACTTGAGATTGTCTTGAAAAATTGTACCTAAAATGGGAAGTTCTCTGCATTGGGGTATATTATAAACATTGTCGAGTTGATCATTATATCCCTTCTTCCGGATGATAAGTTCTTTACATTTACCAGGGTTACAAGTTATAAAATTATCATCAGACCAGCTCAGGAATTGTCCAACTGTATCTGTTGATGTATCAGTACCGTCACTCCAAACTGGCACTATTATATTTGAATCGTCCGCATATTTAAAAAGAGCGTTCTCGCGCCGTCTATGTCCACCTCTAAATCATTTAGGAAAATTTTAAAAAAGTAGGGGCCACTTACGCTACCCTGTGTTGTACCCTTATTAACATCCATCCATTCTCCACAAAAATCGTTACAAACGACTCTTTGCTTTCTATTCTTTAGAAAATTTAAATACCAATTTATGATATACGGGTTGAGTGGCACATTTTTTAACTTTTCCGAGAGGAGTGAATATTTAACGGAGTCGAAAGCCTTGCTAAAATCCATAGAGAACAGTCTAACTGCTTTGCAGTCCGCTCTATCTAAGAAGCTGAGTACGTTGTTCTGAATAGTCAACAGAGCGTTTGTACAACTTCCCCCCTGTCTGTACGCAAATTGCGTTGGGGATAAAATTTCCTCAACTATCGACTTGACCTGACTATTATAAACGAGCTTTTCAAAGGTCCTCGCAATTACAGTGTAATATTTATTCCACGAAAGTCACCATCTTCCTTTGGTAAATCAACCTTTGCAAGAGGGTTAATATTCGCTCTTTTCCATGAATCTGGCCAAGTATGAGATGAAAGGGGCGAATTCCAGACGTTAGTTATAACTTTGGTTAGAATTTCCGCATGATCATTTCAAACCCAATAGGGAATATAATCGGGACCTGTTGCTGTCCTCTTTATTCTTTTCAAGGCATTCCATACCTGCTGTTCCGTGAAGCTAGGAATATCTACTTCATCACCAATAATTGAGAGCGTCGGTTCGACATAACTTTCATCGTGGCAGAGTTCGCCAAAGTATCGATTTAATCTTGTAAGTGATGCATTATCTAAAGTAACTCTTGATGACGATGCATTTCGCTAAGAAATATCATTCGTCTTTCTCCACCAAGTTCTACTTCCCACCAAGGCCCTAAAATTTCTTCTGTTTAGACAAATGACATCAGAAATCATTTTGCTAATTAAACTGAGTCTATCCTTTTGCGACCGAGCAATTCTGAATTTAGCTTTTAGCAAAGATTTAATTAAAGGACTCATCCAGTAAGGGTCACGTGACGAAATTGAGACTGTTTTTGTGGGCATACATTTATTCATATGATCCATGATCTTACGTTCAAGACAATTCACAGCGTCATTTACATTCGTGGACTGCGATACATCCTCCCAATCTTCTTCTGCTAAAGCTTTGTGGAAATCTTTCTTTTGATGCTTTCTACAATCCCGAAATTCAACCTTTCGGCGCATAGGTTTTAGTTTCGTTCCTGCTGGTAAAATAACCCCTATGTGGTCTGTTTTAGTTAACATATTCTATTTGTAAGGCAGTTATCCAAACATACGTTACCCCTTGTTGAAAAGTCGACCATTGCATCCCATCCTGATAGATCGTCGTGGTGTTTTATGTCCAAACTGTTCAAATCCCCTCCACAAACAATTACAGTGTCTGGATATTTGTCCAGAACGTCGTCAGAAATATTTATCAAATAATCCAATAAGTCGATTAATTTATCAAATAATCCTATTTGCTGTTAGAGTAATATAATGAAAGGGCAGTAGGCAAGTAGGGTACATTTAAGTTTTGTACTGTAATGCTCCTCAAAATGTAAGACAGTAAAGTTGGATGAATATAAAATATCACATTTATTACCATTTAGACTGCAAATGGTAATGTAAATTAGCTGTGCCGAGCTCTGTACTTATTACATTACTTTGTCCAGTACAAGGTGACTTTAGAGTGTTCGTTTTTTATATAAACGATACTAAAATGTTCTTCAACAATGAGTTCGTCATCTAGCATGTAGTGTCAGTATATATTTTCTTTTCCTTATGCAAGTCAAAGGCTACAAGAAATATACAACCTGGCAAACATCTGCTCAAGGTTCATCTTTATCAGCCCATGAAAAGACCATTTCTTGCTGATGATTCCTTTCCGATAATGAATCTTGAATGAAGATTATCTAGCGTCACCAATGAATGGTTTGTTACATATAGCCCTCGTCAACATAATCCTAAGGAGGAATTGATATTATTAATGAATGGTGATTATGGGAAGCACTACATATTTTCATAAAGCACACAATGGTAATTCTACTTTTCAATTATATTTTAGTCATCCTCAGCAATGGATCAAATTAGACACATTGATAACAGTACCCTAGTAGTTGCAGTTAGCATTTTCATAATGATGCTATGCCTATTGATAGAACACCGATAATTCTCACAATGCTTTCATTAAAATTAAAATGCCCGTTCTCTCATTTCAACAAATCTGGGATCTGACCAACTGGGCTAATAGTTTGTGCTTCCTTACATGAACAAAATGTAATTTTCTATGCTAATATTATTATGGCTCATTTGAACAGGCCATACAAATCAGGTTAAAATGACCAAGGTACATATTTAATTTGAAGCTACATGTAGGGATCGCCCCTTAGTGCCCTCACCCCACTCCTCCATTGGCAAACTTCTTCACATTCATAATTCAATGTTATTAAGTTCAATCACCTCAAGTGAGATGCCCAAGAAATATTGTTATAAATATTACACTATCAAAAAGCTGTCAAGCGAAGAAAAATGTTGTCTTTGTAAGAAATAAATCAGTTGCAGAGAGGCCAACATCCTGTGGAATTATTACTGTATTAACTCAAGACAAAATTTTTCTCATATATTTTATACACGAGTTGTAAACCAACAAAATAAAAGTCCGTTACAATATGGTCCTGAGATAATGAGATTGTACTCTCTCTTCTGGGGAAATAAATAGCAATTGTGTAGTACATACCTTGCTTGATTTAATCATTAAGTATTCCTGCGTTGAGAAGTAATAAATATTCAAATATTCCGGCGATAAAGAAGCAAACGATTTGAATATTCGCAAATATGAAATATGACGAACAGGCAAGAGTCGCGGTGCGCAAAGCATGTTGGTACTATTTTTACTGAACTCGAAGCGAGCTGTTTCGATTATGTCCTTTTATGGACATCGTCGTGTTTAGTTTCATAAACCGTTGGTTAATTTCAGATAAGTGGTTCTTTGGCGCACAATATCTATAAATTTTGAATTCGAATGGCATTCAACAGCGTATATGAATATCAGCGTTTATATAATAGCTATACCATAAGTCTTTAAATTATAATGTTGTTCTGCAAAACGCCATTTGTCTGAGGACGATCGAAGACACCTTGCCGGCTGATGGTGACATAAAAGATCTTGCAAATATGTCGGAGCCATGTTATTCATTATTTTAAAGCACATCAAATTGATCTTAAAAATGATTCTTTGCTTTTACTGGCAACCAGTGAAGCATCCTGAGAGTTGGAGTTATATGATCGTATTTACGCAAACAAGCTATAACTCGAGCTGCTGCATTCTGAACATTTTGCAGCTTATTAATTTCATATTTGGGGAGACCATAGAACAACGAGTTACAAAAGTCAAGCTTTGAGCTGACGAAGGAGTGAATAAGAACTTCAGCAATGTGACCACTAATGTACTTTCTAATCTTAGCAATATTTCTAAGATGATAAAATGCTCATAAAATTTGACACTAACATTGTTAAGGTAGTGTCAAATGTTACCATATATTGCGTGCTTTGCCTTTGGGTTGAATAATTTCATTTCCAACAGTGATAGACGGCAACAAAGACAACATTGGTCTAAATTTGGAATTAAAAAGTAGAAAGTCCGTTTTATCTGCATTTAATTTCTGTTTGTTACAAGTCATCCAGTTGTTGATGTCAGCTAGTCAGGATTCTAATCGAGAAATGACAGAATACAGGGGCGGATCCAGCCAAAAATCTGACCGTAGCATTTTCCAAGACCTCGCATACCTAGGGGGGTCCGGGGGCATGCCCCCCTGGAAAATTTTTGAAATTTGAAGCCCGGAAATGCCATTTCCTGCGTTCTGAGCACTGCATGTGACCATTAAATTTGTCCTCATTGTATTCATTTCTCAAGCAAAAATACGCCAAAATGATCTCAAAATGTAAACTATTGCTCGCGTATATTTTAACATACGATATCGGTATGATACTCGTATCATACGCATATCATTATCAATTGAATACCGAAATGCGCGTATCATCTACGAACGCGTGTATCATAAGAATACGCATATCATATATGAACGCGCGTATGATATGAATACGCGTATCTTAACTATCTTATGAATATATACGCATTACAAACAAATATTAGCGCGCTATAAAACACGATATATATACGCGCGTATCATAATTCGCGTATTAATTCCAATACATGCAGGTCGTATTACTGTACATACGCGCACAAACACTTTAATAAAGCGAAGTTAATAGCGAACACTATACAGTAAAACTCAAATTAAAATATAATGTGCATCTCTTATCATTCATAAGGCTTACCTGACTGGAAATGATTCGTTTTACTATCTGATTTTATTTCTATCTCGACGCATATAAATCCTTTAGCTTTACGACGGCTTTCATTTCGAAATGCGCACAACCGTACTGTGGGTTCCCAATAGCATGTTGTTGATGAGCCAAACACAAATATCAGATATTCCATCGTTCTGGAGCAGTAGCCAATTTCATGCCACCGTAGCAAACTATAGCATTTGCCCCATTCCGATTGGTTTGCTACGTTTGACCGTAGCAAACCAATCAGAATGCCGTATATGCCAATTTTCGCTACGGTCAGATTCGACCTTAATGAATCTGACCGTAGCGAAAATTGATCATATATGGGCAACACGCTACGGTGTATTTCTGAAGGATGATATTTTCTAAGCTATAGTCCATTGCGTAATGACCCGCAAACGGGCAATTACAACCGTATTTTCGGGCGGGAATTCTTAAAACAATTAACGTTACGTATTATAAATGTCATCAATTTGTCAAAATAAAATGTTTTAGAACATATAAAACTAAATAAAATAAAACCTTGAAATATAAACAAGGAAAGTAAACAAAATATTGCTAAATTATATTTTAGATTGATTTTATGATCCATGTTAGAACTGGCCTATGGAAAATCTGACCGTAGCATATGCTACAGTTGCAACGGTCTAAATCCGCCCCTGGAATAAAGTTCCACATCATCATTACACGCAAACGTAGTGTAGAGTTGGTCATCATCCGCATTTAAGTGAAACAACATATCATGCTTCCGGATTAAATCTCCTAATGGCGAAGTATATAATAAAGACAACAAGGTTCCCAGAACTGACCCCTGTGGTACTCCACAAGTAAGGGGACAGACTGACGAATCAGTTCCATTAATCCGAACCGATTGAGTACGACCTGTGAGATATGAGCGAAACCATTTATATGCTTAACCTTTTATGCCAAATTTATATTGCAGTCCATGCAACAAGATTTTGTGGTCTACAGTGTCGAAAGCTGCTGATAGATCTAGCAGTACAAGAGCAACAAATTGCTTGTTATCAATAGCTGTTAACATATGATTTTGAACACGCGTAAGTGCAGTTTCACAGCTGTAATGCTTCTTGTATGCTGACTGAAAAATCTCATTCAAATCATTTTCACACAAGTAGTCCCATAAACGTGCTGTTGCAACCTTCTCCATAACCTTAGACAAAAATTTCAAATTTGAAACCGGCCTAAAGTTAGCAAATATTTCAAAATCCAAAGACACTTTCTTCAGTGAGGAACACAACACCGCCTTCTTCATGGAGCTAGGTACTACAGTTGACTCAAATGACATGTCCACTACACTTCAAATAATAGGCAGTAAGTTACTAATACAATATCCAAGAAGTGATGCTTGTATAGGATCTAAACAACACGATTTGGAGGCAATCTTCTTTACTAAACCAGAAAGTTCCTCTTCTGAAGTTGGAGAAAGTTCAGTCAGCTCACAATTAATAGTGGCATTATCAAATTAATTGATCAAATTTGTTGCACAGTTCAGCAGTAGAACCACATGTGGGGTAATGTTTCTCAGGTGTACGGTGTAACATGCGGTCTATTGTACTAAATAAGATCTTATGATTTGATTTGTTTTCAACAATAATGGCAGAATAGTAATTCATCTTTGATGATTTGATAAGTTCCCTAACCCGTCTGCACTGATCCGCGTGCTGTTGTTCATCAACTTCCAAACCAGAATTACGCCAACGTCTTTCAAGCCAACGGCGTTTGCATTTTTCTATGGAGATTTCTTCTGAATACCAGGGTGCAGCCGGTCGTGAGGTTATCAAAAAAGTCTTTAACGGAGCATGGGTGTTAACAATCCTGCGCAGTTCACTGTCATACTGATCACATAGCTCATCAACGTTGCACGCTGATGAGGAAAAAAGGGCGGATGTAATAACATCATTTCGAAAAGCAGCAGCATCAACACTCCGAAGTTTGCGAAATTGTTTTTTTAAACCTTGATAGACGAGGCCTAGCAAGGGACAGTTTCGTGTGAATAGCCATATGGTCTGACAAATGAGGGTTGAAGGTTGACCAGGTGTGCATGATGTTTTCACATTCTCTAGTGATTACAAAATCAAGAGTGTGATTATCTTTATGAGTAGGTCCTGACACATGTTGTATTAGATTGTGAGAATCCAATAAATCCAGAAATGTAGCGGCTTGTCCATCAGTATCGTCATCAATGTGGAAGTTAAAGTCTCCCAATAATATAAGGTTTCCACTGGATATGGCCAATCGCTCAAGTAGATCAGAAATTCTTTGAGAAACATAGCAGCTGAAAGTCCGTTTTTCGTAGATGGAGGAGGTCGATATAATATTCCAATTCTTAAAATGGTTGCAGGTAGTCTGAACAAGATTTCCATATACTCAAATGACGAATAACTAGCAACGTTTTGCATTTCCATCTTGTTCTACCACCCAATCTTTTAGGTACATAGCTTTGTTATTTAGAGACCGAGTATTGAGTAGGGCGAGATGCAGAAGATTACAATCCGTAGTTTCATTGCCATCACAACTAGATTTAATGTGTATAAGATTATTGAAATTAGCACTTAAATTAAGACGAATTTTACTTGGCCTTCGTGTGTTGAATATTGATGGAATTCGATATATTCCAGAGCTTAGCGATGTCTCCTCACGTAATCGACTGGTGTATGAACTTCTCTGAACATATGATATACCATAATTTAACAACTGAGGGAATCTGTAGTTCGATTCATACGCCAGAAACTGTCTCTTCAAGCTGTTAATTACTCCTCCATTGTTAACGGGTCTATTCAAATGCATGTGAGTCATATTAAGTCGGGTAGTTAAAGCTTCCATTTCAGGACCAGGATTCTTTTGAACATCCAAATAAACAGTAACATCGATGACAAACAACTTATCAGGAAGAGCCAGGGTAGTTAAGCCGCGTTTACTTGCTTTTTGAACAGGATGAATGATATTAAACTTCGACTGAATCCTAGTACGCTTTGTTGTTGTAATTACAATCGGGCGATACCAAATAAATCGAGACCAAAACCAGAATCTTCAGTAAATAACAGCCTATTACACAGTTGTATTCCTGCATGCAACATCACTAACGGCAGCAGCTTGTCTAAAATTGAGTAGCAACACTCCTCCAATAAGCAAGAAAATACGAAATAAGACAGGAGCTATTTTATAACGTGTCGCTATTTCCATCGTCACATGTGAAAGGAGGCTGCATAACACTGGACCCATTGACGAAAACACTGGATTGGGGTGGAATGCCAGAACCGTGAGCTGTATTTTGGTGACATGAACGGTTACTTGAAGCTGAGAATGATTTGTTACAAAAATAAGACATGTTCGCTGCTCTGTGACAAAACGCCGAATGAAATTATTTTTAAGATGATCGTCTATTTATACTTAGGATTCGATGATTCAATCTAGGATTCAATGATTCAATCATGATTCAATTTATGATTCAATGATTCAATTAAATTAATGATTCAATGATTCGATCAATGATTCAATCTAGGATTCAATTATTCAATCTAAGGATTCAATGATTCACTTATTCAATCTTAGGACTCAATCTTAGGATTCAATTATTTAATCTATGATTCAATGATTCAATCTTGTGATTCAATGATTAAATCATTATTCAATCTAGGATTCAATCTTAGGATTCAATCTTAGGGTTCAATGATTCAATCTTAGGATTCAATAATTCAATCTTATGATTCAATGATTTAATTATGATTCAATCTAGGATCCAATGATTCAATCTTAGGATTCAATGATTCAATCTTAGGATTCAATAATTCAATCATGATTCAATGATTCACTCTATGATTCAATGATCCATTCAATGATTCAATCTAGGATTCAACGATTCACTCTATGATTCAGTGATTCAATCAATGATTCAATGATTCAATCAATTACTCAATCTAGGATTCAATTATTCAATCTTAGGATTCAATGATTCAATTTTAGGATTCAATGATTCAATATAGTATTCAATAATTCAATCTTAGGACTCAGCGATTCAATTTATATTCGCAAAAACGTTTTTAAAGTCATGTTTCTCGAGTAAATGAACCATTTAGGCTCCAACTCTTGAATAGATTACGTGCTTTCATGTGTGCAGGCCTTTTGTAGAGCTCTTATGTACTTATCCAACTCAACAGCAAGCTTTTCTTAATTCTACATCAGCTGAGCAAATTCGATGCTTGTGTCATTGTATAGAAAATTTCACATACTCGAAAGAAACGAAGGACAAACTCAGACCTTTCAAACAAGATCTACTGTAGCTGATTTAGCGGACAGAAATAGAAGTTTTAAAACGAAAAAGGAAATTATTGTTCAGCAGGGAAGTGGCTTTCGGGGATTGGTACTTGGAACACTTTTAGAAGGCCTTGCAGAATTAGTATAAAATAATAAGCATGGAGGCCATCTCCTCATTCCAATCATGGATAGCGACAAACTATCATCTCCTAAACAGTGGAGACTTGAAGACATTCTTAAATATCTTGACGTTGATGATGAACACGACGCTGAAGAAATCCTTCATTCTATTTTAACCTCTACGGCGATTTTGACTTGGAGTGGAAAAGGAGAAATCGTCTACAGAGGACATAATAGACGAGGATCTTATGAAATATTCTGTGACGTCTTATCATCCAGATATTCCCGAAGCAACTGGATCGAGCACTTTTATAAAAGGTCTTGCAGAACTGGAAATTGATAAAAAGCCAAATCGTAAATGGACATGTCCTTTCTGTGCTAGCCCACAAGTGGTCCCATCAGGATACACAATCTGATGCTGATGCAATTCCTAACACTTGTAACAAAGATATACACGTCTCCCATTTGAGTACGTGCCTCGTATGCACATGGACAGAGTTTTATCCAAATTGTAAAAGCTGTCGCTGTATGATCCGTGATTCTCAAGTGTCCAAAGGAGATTCCACGCATGTAATGGCCAGCTGTCCACATTGTCGCCGAGGTGAAATTATAGATATCAGAACGGATGAAAGGCAGGCTTTTAACCATAAAATAGGCGGCGAAAGTGATATTTGATCAGTAGACTGCGTGAAGTTGAACTGAACACATCAACATGCCGAGAGGTACAGTTGTTGTAGACGAGAAACTACTGAGAGACCATTTCATGAAACAACAACGTGGTGGGTATATCACTGGGTATCGTGGGGCACGTTTTCAAAGAGGTTATGGGATCGGAGGTATTTTCAAGAGCCTTGCGAGATATGCTATTAAGCCCTACTACAACAAGCAGGGCGCAAGAGAAGACAAGACTGACGCAGTAATTGATCAACTAGAAAGAGGTTAAAGCTCTGTTCTCATATGGCAGTCCCAAGACATATCAAATGGATTACGGAAGATGAAAGCAACCACGACGATTAATATGATAGCGAAACTTGTCAAGCAAATGACGATATATATATATTAGAAGCAAGCAAAGAAATCATGGAAGCGCCACAATTTTCTGTGGTGGAAAAAAGCAAATTATCTTCTGATCAGCTAAATCGGTTTCTCGCATTAAAAAGTAAGATAGATGTCCCGGCTCAAGCTCCTGTTCAGACAACTTCACAAGTGCCTGCAGATATACCACCACCCAATTAATCTGTTAAGATATCACCACCAGTGCCTGCTACTCCTAAACCTAATTTCCTTACGCCACCACCAACAGAAGAGGAATGACCAAAACTCAAGCGCAATTTTTTTCACAATTGGGTAGACTCTACAGATTGAAAGCCCCAAGATTTAGCAATGATGACTCCTGAACAAAGAGAAGGTTACGAACAAAGATTACTTCGCGAGAGATCGAAATATATTCCAATGAAGTATGAAGATGTTGCAAGATTATGCCCAAAAGATAGACAAGAACTTGAGAACTCTTTAAAAATAAGAAAACCACTTAGGATCTTAGGACTCAATCTTAGGATTCAATCTTAGTTGAAAGGTTATGCCGATGACAATCGACCGCATAACCAATTAACCATTCAATAAATTCGGCATAAAAACTCAACTTAGATGTTTATGCCGTTGAATATGTTCTGTATAAAACGTTGATTCTGTTGAATGGTTATGCTGAAGACAGGCAACAGCATAACCATTCAATTTATGTTCGGCATAAACACTTTCAACTTAGATGATTATGCCATTCAACCATTCACCATTGGATTGTTATACCGTTGACTGTCCTCGGCATAACCATCATCATCACTATCATCATCATCATCATAAAACCTTTTCAAGAAATAAATGTATTTTAAAACTGAAATCTTGTGTAAATTTTACCTGCAAAGCCTAGCGCCAGATTTTAAGGCATATACCTGCGTTATAAATAATCCTTATCTATCTATTGGGATACACTTAGTTATGCAAATTTTTTGTTCGCCTAATCCCTTAATTACGCACTCGCAATGTGAGGTTTTCATAGTAAGCCAACATTAATCCCTCTATTCTATCACGCACGTGCGGGGACGCTAAAAATGCCTAGTCAGCAAGTTTCACACGACCTCGTCCAAAACACCGACACGATGTCATTACCCCTCACACTCACCTCATCCTCTCTTACTTCTCCTCACTCCATTTCACTCCACCACACTCCACCACATTCCTCCTCACTCCACCACACTCCACCAGATTCCACCACACCACACCACACCACACTCGAGCACACTCCACCACACTCCACCATAAAAATATCCCCGATCGGCCATTATATTACAACTATTACATCAGGTTCTTCATAATAAGATGTATTTTAAATTTGAAGACGTTTTAAGATGTGATGATGGGTTTGTACAGACTGCATAAAAAAACTGAACAGATTTGAAATTGCTTTCAATTTTGCAAACAGCTCGTGATATCATGTTTTTGTTATGCTTAGTTTCCTTGAGTGTCCATAATGTAGAATAATGAAAAAAATAGTCGATATCAAATTGTATAAAGCAGGGGGGGGGGCCTGATGTAAACGAAAATTAAAAACTTTAATCGTATATTGAGTTAATAGATGACAAATTTGTTAGGTTTTTAATTACTGTACAAAATTCCAAACAATTTGCTTTTAGTACAAGCCCTTTAACAATTCATTTTTTCCCTTAAAAATCAGCCTTTCGCATGCTTAATTAATTTAATGCCTTTAGCTATAAATTGCATATCCCTGACATAATCATGCAAATTAGGTAAATGCATTGTGCATGCAGAAGGCTGATTTTTTAGACGGCGTGTGCGTTAAACTGAAGCAAATGGGCATAATCTTGCGCAGCAATTAAAACCCAACACATTTTTCACCCATTAACAAAAATGCGATTAATGCTTTTAAATCTCTTGCGCAAGCTGTTTTTAATTTGAATTTTTTCTGTGTTGGTGTTGTGTACTCAGGTGGATAATATGTTTACGATGTTACTCCGAGTGCATATCCACACCGGGCGAGCTTGAAAAATATGCCCGGTCGCGGTGGGATTCGAACCTACGACCTTTGGAATACTAGCCCAATGCTCTTCCAACTGAGCTACGCGGTCAGGACGGTTCGAGTAAGTGATATTTCGGAACAGTATCTAGTTCCTTCAATACCAATGTGTTCTAGTAATATGAATTTTTTTCTGTGTTGGAGTTGTGTACTCAAGTGAATAATATGTTTGCGATGTTACTCTGAGTGCATATCCACACCGGGCGAGCTTGAAAAATATGCCCGGCCACGGTGGGATTCGAACCTACGACCTTTGGAATACTAGCCCAATGAACAAGGGGGAATTTCGTTCTCGACCAATCAGCGCTTTTGTTTACATTTTTGCCCTAAGCCAATCAGAATGCGTAAAACGCTTCATCACATGAAATTTGCAAACAAATATATGGGGTTACCTCAGAGCTCTTCTGCAAGCGGTTT